CCTGCGGCAAGGCAGCCAGGCCTCAGGCCGCGCCCGCTCCTCCAGCCCCGCCGCCGGGGAGGGGTTTCCCGGGACAAGCCGGCCCCTTTCATCCAGGAAGTGAAAGCGACGTCGGGGTCAATGAAAACAAACGGGGCGCCCAGGGGAAGGAAGGCAGGCTACAGAGAACCGGCGCTGGGGCGCGGGAGGGAGCTGCCGGGCGGCGGAAGCGCGAGCCGGGGGCCGGGCGCAGTCACGTTTCTGCCGAGTGCCGGTGGCGGGCGCCCGGGGCGGGGGTCTGGGGGGGTCGGGAGGGGTCGCCCCAGGCTCCGCGCCCACCGCATCACCTTGGTCGGCGCCGGGGCACGAGGATGTGCGGTGCCGGGCTCTGAAGCATGGAGGGGGTTCTGTACAAGTGGACCAACTATCTCACAGGTATAGGGGTCGGGGGGTTCGGGCGCTCCATGGGGGGACAGCGTGGAGAGGCAGGACTTGACCGGGCTGAGGGGGGCTGGGGGCGCGCTGCGGAGAAGGCGGGTCAGGGGCTCCTCCTCCCTCCTGGCCCGGGGTGACCCTCCTAGCGAGCCCGCTCTACTCGATTCTAGGGCTTAATCTTTCTCTGTCCCTGTGGGGCCGGCCTGTGCAGGTGAGGGTTCGAGACTGCGCACCTTTTTTAGGGTGGGAAGTGAACCTGGCCATTTCTTTGCTGGTGTGATATTTCTGTGCGCCTCCTGTAGCCACCCAAAACAATTCCCAATCACCCTCCATGTGTTGTTGCAGTCTCTGTCCTTATTCATAGTTAATGATTTAGCATTTTGGTAATAACCGGCTTGTCGGGGTATTGGACTGGAATGGACCCTTTCTGTATAAGAATTTAATTTTAAGAAATCTTTTCTCTAAAAAAAATCCTTAATATTGTTTATTTAAAAAGTTCCTTTGCTGAAGTTGTTCGACCTTAGCAAGCATGACTTTGGAAGCTATCCCCAAATAACATTCTCTTAGTGATTGACAATGAGGTATCTTTACGTTTGAGAATTCAGGTAACAGTGTGAGAAATAGTGGAAGAAAGTACCGTAAGTACACTTTCACAAATCAGGCGAGTCAGTTTCACCTCTCTTAGTGGGTTGAATGGAAAAATTCCAAAGAATGAGGTGTTTCTGTGGAAGTAAGAAAATAGAATACTCGGGAGGAAGTGTACCAACGACATAGACAGCCTGACTTACTAAAAGCACCTTGGATCCAAGTTGCAGTCCAGATTCTGCCTTCAACCAATTGCCAAGGCAAGCCACTTATTTTCTCAGGATCTCAGGCTGATCAGGCCTTGGTCATTAACTATTTTATCCTTAAAGTGCCTTCCAGCTCCACAACTTTGATCTCATCAGAGTAGAGGAAGGAGAATAGCTTTAAAATAAATTTGAATAGTCATATCTTGGTTCAGCATACAGGGACATCTTGATTTTGCTCAGTTGCTTACTCTGCCAGAATTCTTGAGCTCCTTAGTATTGTATAGTAATTTACTCACCTTGTGTTCATCTGTTCTTGTGGAAAATCCGAGCATAAACACCTAAAAGCATAAGTACTGAGCTACAGTTGTCCATTTTATGATGCATTAGAATGCTAGTTCATCAAAAAATGCAGATTTATAGCAACAAATGCTTTGATATGTGATATATTGATGTTTTATTTTGTTGGAACTAAAAAGTCGATTTCTGTAAGTCACATGTTTTAACAGGAAATGTTTAAAAATAAGATTTCGTAATGAAGTATTTAGTTTGGACACTTGTGAGAAGCCCTGGTTGAGGTATTGTGTTAAAGCAGTAGCTTCTGTGCTTTGAGATGCAAAGATTCATCAGCACTGTGCCCTGGGAAGTCATTCCAGTGGAACTGTTTTATGCATAGCCCAGAGCAATGAGCAATTGCTGGGATGAGTCATAATTTAAGACTTGAGATCAAACTGTCTTGGGAGTGGTTTTCCTCATCTCCTAAATTACTGAGTACCAGATACTTTAAATTTTAGTCTTTGCAGAGCATATTGTTAATTTCAGGTATATGATGGAGAGCTTGCTGAAATGAAATTTTTGTTGGGAAGAATTCCATTTGAAAAAATTTGGCTTGATGGCAGCATGCTGATTATTACTTTTAGTTCATCTCAGGTCAGAGGGATGAACAGCTGTTCATACTAAATGATCTTTAAAAAAAACCTTCCTGGGTAATGCTAGTGTTACTTGAGAATACTTTGTAGAGAATATGGATTTCAGTAATTTCTTGTAATTAGAGATAAAAAGAATGTACTTTTTTTAGAAAAAGATTAAAAGAGGAAATATCTGTGAATCATCACTGATACAGCCTTCTAGTATATAAATGTGAGAAATAACTAGACATTGTTTTATTAAATATTTCTTCAAAAAAATATGTAGAGATAATTAACAGACTTGCTTAGATTAACTTATTCAACCATGACCACTTTTCACTTTGCTGCAAATTCTAAGTGACTCATTTTGGTTAGTATTTGTTTTGAGAAGATACTGAATCACAATAACATAGGCTTGCAAAATCATAGTTTGACTTTGAGGCACACAGGACCTAGATAAGGTAGAGGAATATATTTTTACCATGCTCTCCTTTTTTTTTTTTTTTTTT